TTTTTTTATCTTCTTCTTGTTCTCTTTCTTGTGGTTATCTAATCGTTATAGGATGATGATATTATTCCGAACGTTGAATGGAATCTTGAGGAAGACTCAGATAATGAAGAGAAGAAAATCCAGGAGCAGAGGGAACGAAGGCAAAGGCTCCTGCAGCAAATGAATAAAACAGAAGACAAGGTGATTTCATCCCTTATTTTCCATTTTCTTTATTTGCATTTATTGGAGAACTACTGTACAGATCACGGCTGGTTGTACTTCTTTCCTGTATTTCTATTTCTACATTTTAGAACGACGTTAAGACAAAAATTTATTCCGATGAAAGCTCAGATGAAGAAGATGCATTGATCAGAGAAGCTCGTCGTCTGGTTGGACCGGTACTGTTTGCTGTTAGTTCCCCTTTTTGATTGGCTGAATAATTTATGGAAAATTGTAGAGTGGCGCTGGAAGTGAAAGCCCAATGAGCAGCAGCGCTTTGTCTTCTCCCGAAAGAGACGCTGGTGATAGTACGCCTGGTGATTTCTTTGCCGATCTGAAAGAGAAAATGGTTCATTTAAAGTAGGTTTTACTCAGTGACAGGTAATTTGCAATACCTAATTTTGAAATTTTTAAGGGGACTAGATGAGCATTTTGTTGACGAGACGTTGCAGAAGGCCAAAAAGGAAGAAGCAGACGATGCTAAACGTGAAAGAGAATATCATGCGAATGATACGCCCGTCAGTTGATTCTTTACATTTGCTTACATGTGGAATTGAGTTCGAAAAACTGTTCCTGATTCGGAAACGTAGTTGCAGGTTGAACCTCCCAAACCGATTCCCCCTCCTAAACCGGTAACGAAGACGAAGACAGAGTTCGATATGTTCGCTGACGATGCAGACCTCCCACAGGTAGGTGTAGATTTTGGAGCAGTTGGACGAAATTTTCATTTTCTCGTATTTCTCATTACAGGATGGAATAGTTGCCGACGAAGCCGTATTAGAGTCACAAGGACATCATGCCGACGCCTTAAAAGACAACTGGGACGATGCGGAGGGCTATTACCGTACGCTTTCGACTTGATTATGAGTATTTGGCGTTCAATCTTCTGCTGTTCAGGAGTACGTATTGGCGAAGTACTGGACGGCCGCTACAGAGTATTCGGGTATACCGGAGCAGGAGTGTTTGGAAATGTGGTCAGGTGCACAGATCAGAACCGAAATGACGTGGTCGCAATCAAGATTATTCGAAACAACGAGATTATGTGAGTGACATTCAGTAATATCTTTCTAAAAAGCAAGGGCCTCGGGTTGCTTGAGTTAGGTCCTTCAACCCACTGCTGACGGGTGCTATGGGTAACTCCATCTGTCTTTTCAATTTCACATGAGATATGTGTCTTTTATGTCTTAAGACGTGTTTTAACTAGGTTATACGAAAGGAGTCGGTAAATACCAGATGCCCCTCCAAGCCGCACTGCGCCGAAATGCGGAATAAATCACATGAAATGCTCCAAAGTAGCAATGTTGGACCACGAGCCTGTGTCCGATCTGATGAGGGTTTAACTCCGTGCTCTCTTTTCTCGTCTGCGCGCTCT